GACCTACTTTTCATAAAATTATGGGCTATAACTTAACGAATGCCAGAAATGGAAAAAGCATGTCGAAAATATCAAAATGGCCAAGTTTGAGGCCCCCATGATCAGAGAATGAGATTTTATGACGGTCTGAATTTTTGAAAGAATAAGAAGATTTGTATGCAAAAAGTTGTTGGAGAGCAAGACCTTGCTCTCCAGCAACATTTTCCATACAAATCCTCTAAAGTTTCCGAAAAGTCAAACTGTGGTATAAACTTACTCGTTAATTCCTGGGGCCTCAAACTTGGCCATTTTGGTATTTTCGATGCGCTCTTTCCATTTCTGGCATTCTTTAAGTTATAGGCCATAATACAAAAATTTTTTAGAAAAAATTTGGTCACGTGACCCCAGCTGCAAAGGGCCTATTCAGTCTGGAATCACACTCGTGATTAACAAATCGGACTTGATCCCGCTTCGCGGTCGTCCGATTTTGTTGATCATTCCTATGATTCCAGACCGAATTGGACTACACTCAGTCCTATTACCATTGTTAATAAGTTGACCCAGACATGCAGCCCTGGTTTACAGCGTACATCTTCGATATCGGACATCCATGTTATGGTCTATTGACATCGGTCAAAACAGATATCCGCTGACCAGTATCACGTGTCCGTATCGCAGGCTCAACTTTAGGGCTGAAGGAGTTCACGTAGTTTTTCTTTAATTGACCGCTGACTAAGTGTTGTTTTTCGATTGGATCGTGGGCTTAAGCAAGGCTACCTTGTTTTGATCGGGGCCAGGTTGTTCGAACGCTGACCCTGGATTAAAAGTTAACCGAAGTATAAATTTTTCTTGTATTAAGATGTTTTTACTGTTGTATTTTGTGTAGTTTGAGATCATTCAAACTCAAAGCAGAAGGCCAGGCAATATAAACAGAAAACCCCACCGAAAAGTTACTAAAGTCAAATAAAAAATTATCGGTCTTTGAACAACCCGGCCCAGGGGCTCCCGCTTTTAGGCTTGGATAAATCTATATACTAGATGTTTTACTGGCTTGCCTATATGGATAAATAATGATACGAATTCGAATTGTTTTGACCAGGTAGATAAGATATGATAGCTTTCGGAGGCCAATGTATATTCTTTTACTATTATTTTTCAAGGAGAAAAAAAATTGAACAAATTTCGAATTAAACCTAGCTCTTTTAATATGAAGGTCTCACTTTTACAAAACGATCCATTTGCATGTGACGTTGACCAAGCCGCAAACATTTGGATTTGAGTCTCATCTGAGGTCATTTCCATGTATATTTAGTAGACAATTGGCCCTCGTGCTGGTTGCTCTATTTTTTTGCTGCTACACGGTGCTGAGGAGACCCAACCAGGTCGAAAAAGCTGTCTACGGTTACAATTCTTGGCTTTAAGTTTGCACTCTACTAGTTTTCTTCCTAGTAATCAGCTTTGCTTCATGTCAGTTATTCCTTGGAAAAATACCTTTTGCCACCATTATTAAGATCTTACCAAGTTTTTTTGGTCAATAAATGAGGAAATCAACAGCATTGTTAACTGAGAATGTTTTCAAACTTGTAGAATTTGGAATGATTTCTCTCTTACGAACCTATACCAGAGTTATCGGTGTACGAAGTAAAATCACTACACGCAAATGCAGGTGTATTTTTGCTCTGTCGCTCGCGTCGAGTCTATTTCCGTATTTATTGTGTGAGGCAAACACCAGTTCCACACCGAAAAATCAACCATTTCTAAACACTTCGTTTTTTTTTTTTTTTGGTGTCTCTGCAGATTTACCATAGTGCAAAATATCAACTTCATGATTCCTTGCGATTATTCGCTTTCAAAGGGGCTGCGCTTTTGAGTAACAAGTTAACAAGTCTCTGAAGATAAAGACATGAGGCGGCTGTTATCCAAAGGAGCGAGTCTCTATTTTGTAGACGACGGAATTACATTGCTTTACCGGAAATGGACAATTTAAATGTGAACTCGCTAAAGCAAATGCATTATCTGGAAAAATCAATATTATTCTACCGTGTCATGTTACTAGTTCGTTTTCTGTCCCTATGGAAACACTCATATTAAGCAAAAGGTTCTTGAAAGCAATCGCTTTTTTTTCCCTTTTGCGGTAACATTTTCTATGCGATGTTTTTGACAATGAAACTAACAAGTAAGGAACACTGTAACATGTAAGAGCTGAAAGGAAACCATACAAGTGCAAGCTAAGCCCAAAACGAACACTGAATCAGTATTTGTTTAATACTGTAATTCACAAAAGTTCATAGCAGTTACGGCAAACTGTATCTGATACTAAAACGAGGCGAAAAGAGTTTGGAAAAGCAGGTGTAACATAATAAAATCGCTGAACTGAATGAGTTGCAATCAGTGTTTTTTTCTCGTTGCTAGCGGCGAAAGCAGATTTCGGAAACCGCATTAAGAATTCTATTATTCCATCAGTGTAGGAATTTCTGTTAAATTGAGTACCATAGTTAGCGTGTTTAGGATTACATATACAAGAGCGGCTGCGAATTTGCTCCAGGGAATAACAACTATAACTATAATTGGTGTAGTACAGATTTCATTATTTACAGTTTGCATGATCCGAATGCGCTTCTCAAAATATGGCTAACAGCTAAAAACATTCCCAATAATTAAGAACTTAAAATTGAAAAGTTGATTAAAAACTGCTCCTCACAAATTACCAAAAAAAGATATGTTAAAATAAACCTCCAACTTGTTCATTTATTATTTCTGGCACCGGAGTCTTTCGAGGACAGCTAGCTACTCAAGTACTCGTGGTGACTGTCAGTTGGCAGATTTTAGTCTGTTCTATGCTTTTAGCGTGTTCTATGTTTCCTGTCATTTCAACAAGACCTTCCTCTGTTATTCTTCGATGACCTCTCGTAGTCTCTCCGTATGTTTTCAGCATTTCAGTCGGCTCGACACTACCCGCTTTCCAGATATTCAAATTGAAACGCGTACCTCCAAGCGGTAACGTCTTGCAACATAGTCCGCGAACAATAAGACGTCGAAACGCACTTCGGAATGTGCGTGTGAAGAGCATGTAGACGAGGGGGTTAAGGGTGCTATTGGCGTAATGAAGCCATTTGCTGGTATTAACCCAACCGTAGTCATTGGGACAGCTTGAACAAACGGCATACAGAACAACAATTGAAAAGAACGGTCCCCAACACAGAACAAATGCCCCTACTACCAATCCCAACATCTTCGTTACCCTGAGCTCGCGTCGGAAAGTCATGTTGTGTTCCCTCTGAACTCCGTGGTCAATTCCTGCACTGGCGGCGCAGATTGTTCGAACCTGGCGTAAGGCAACGTAGGCAATTTTACTGTAAACGCCGATTAGAATAAGTAGAGGAATAAAGAAAGCCGCAAAGGAGATGAAAATGGCGTAAACTTTTCCCGCTGTCGGCATGAGCTTCCCGATCACTGTCACAATCGATAGACTTGCACAAAAGAAGGCGAACAGCCAAGCAAAGGCAATTGAACCTTTGGCTCGCTTTGGAGTCATTCGGCTGTGATAGGTTAGAGGCGAGTTGATTGCCAAGTGCCTGTCAACGCTGATCATGCAAAGATTCACAATGGACGCTGTACTGCACAGAATATCCACATACTGCCACGAATAGTAAAGCACCTTGTCCAGCTTTTTATCTCTGGGAATCTGCGATAGGGCTGAGAGACGAATGAACATCCAGCAAGGCATGGAGAGCGAAGCCACGAGAATATCGGCCACCGCCAGAGACACAACAAAATAGTTTGTGATTGTACGGAGCTGGTGAAAGCGATAGAACGCTAAAATCACGAAACCATTACCGAACAAAGCCAGGAAAATAACAAAAGACATCAGCGCTGCCGTGGAATTGAACCCCACTTGGTCCACCTGAGAGCTCGGCGTTGAAAAACTACCATTGCTCTCTAGCGACGAAAAAGAAAGATTCAACGAAAAGTCAAGATTCATTGCCGTGCTTCGCTGGTAGTAGCGGTGGTTTGCTTGGAACACTTGATAAAACTGTGTCAAAAATGTTTCCGATTATGAAATTCATTTTTGCGCCAAGGAAATTCCTAATTAGTCACTATTTATACAGGTGACGGATTCATAAGCGATTTCCAGAAAAGTTCCCCACTCGAATACCATCTCATAATCTCAATCCGTCATCAAAATTAAAGGAACTGTCTAAAGAAGATGCGGTGACTTTGTCGCAAACGGGAAATCAATCAAGCCAAAATAAACTTTTTAGGGAAATAGTTGTCTATGCAACTGATATTATCGTTGCCGCAGTTCAAATAGTCTTGCTGTCGAAGTGTAAACACTTCCAGCATGGAGATTTTCTTCATTTTCTTTTGGTAACACCAAGGAAATTTAAGGTTTAATTCGAGAGTTTATGTAAAGTCAAAACTCCCTTCGCCGGGAGTCCAGTTACTGCCCAACTTTTAAAATGAACCTTGATGAAGTTTTCATAGGGTTGGTCTTTGTGCAACTGGCGAGCAGTAACTAAAAAGATCAACACAGCTGAACGCGCTTTGTTTTCCCACGTTTGATGGATTATCCGTAATATTTCGATGGTTCCGTACACAAACACAGGATGACAGCCCGTAAAAGTACATCGTTTACACAAGAAGCTCAACGTCACGTTTGTTAGTCAGTGAGTCAACAAAAGCCATTCTTTCTTCGTCCTTAGTAATAATCCCCGAACCAAACCGCCATGCTTTCCAGTTGTTTCAAAATTACACAACAGCGGATGTCAAGGCAAATGTAATAACCTTAAGTTGAACAATTCTGGAGATTTTAACACGATTAAAAAAAAGGTAATAAACAGACCCTTCTGTCATGATTCAATCGGTAAACTTCTATAATTATAAATATTTGGGCATTGACGGGGTTTTCCAAATTCGTTTCGAATGACCATCTAGTTCCCTCTGCATGTAGCAATTTCCTTCTTTATTTTATTAGTGCGATAAGACAAAAATTTTCCACTCTCACTAAAAATACAATACTATTGAAAATGCAAAATGTCTTTCGAGACGAGTAGAAAACTACTAAAAAATTACAAGGTTTCAAGATTTAACACGGATAAAACTGCTTTCATTTTAATCGTCGCCGGAAAATTTCCCATTTTCCATGTATTCATTGCAATCAGTGTTGTTTGTTGATAGCTACAAAGCAATATCAACTACTTGCACGATCGGGAACATTTGTCTCTTCATTTACAGCTGAAGTCGTCTCACTCTCACTTGCAATATTTTCGGAATCCAGCGGAACTTCTTCGGCATTACTCGGTGTATCAGAGAGAACGGTCGGGCTTGTTTCGGAACTGGTTGCAGAATCGTCAGATTTATGATTCGAATTTTCAGCAGCAGGTTCTTGAACCCCGCCACTTGACTGGCCAACAGAATCTTCCATGAGCTGTTCCTCGCTCTGCTTTTCGTCTTCCTCGTCTCTTACATCCTCTGGCTTTTCAAGTGTTTGTTCACTTGACGTTTTTTCTTCTCCGGCACTTGCGTTGTGTTCGTTTTTGCCGTTTATTCTCTCTCCACCAGATGGTGACTGTTTGATTTCTTCACTAGAAAGAGCAGAACTGGTTTCCTTGGTCTGGAAAGAAAAATAAAAGCAAACAAGGCATATAAAATCTCGATAAAATCAGCGAGGTACTTTAGATTATCAATAATATAAATTACTATTATAAACACTATCATTATCATGTTCTATCTCAGGATGGACAAAAAACTGCCGGAAAAGTAAGATCAATCGAAAGACTAAAATGCAGTTACATGTACGTGCTCCCAAGTTGACACAAAATTCATTTTATTTCCGACATATTCACTAACCCGGATACCTCAGTGTGATAGGAAGTTATCTAGTTATCTACCCAGACATCGGTGAAGTACAAACTTGACAGATGACTTCATGTAACTAGACACCATTTGACTCGATGAATGCCTGACGTCACGAGAGGAAATTCTATTTTCCACGAAGGAAGACTTTTGTGTTTCTTGATCCCAGAATGGCAGAATAAATAGAAACAGTTAAATACCATCCTTTTCGGAGAAAAATGAATACAAATATGAACCTCTTGATATAGATACCAAAGAGAAAGTGCTGAGTTTCCTTATTTTAAGTGTAATGAAGTCGTTTAGATTATAGACTGTGGTATCTATTATAAAATTCTCGTATCTCTAAGACCAAGCGAACTGTCCCTAATACAGTTATACAGGGTGTCCTTATTTCAGAGGTAGATATTATATGAATTCAGGTTTTTCTGCCGGGACCAGTTGAACTATCCTTAACTAAATGTTCCTGTATTATGGGGTTCATCGGTGTTGGGAAATAGAGGTTTGACTCGTAAAATATCTCAACAGGCGGTACATTTCTACGAGTCTTGCAGCAGTATATTAACCAGCCTGTAAGGCACGTCAAACTACAAACAACAAGTAAAAATGTACAGCAATTAATGCTACAAACGTTACGAAAATTCTGATAAGAGATTTTTCATCCATCCTGAAAACCAGAAACTGCATCAACGAAGCGAGTGGTCTGGAGAACTATGAGCGCTCTAACTACCTCAGTTTTAAAACACTTGTCCTGTTGCCTACAGTATCAAAATCGTGGCAGGGACATGTGAAACGATTTTCTGCAGTTACATGGAGGGTTTTCACATGACGTCATGGCAGCCATGTTGGTGTCACAACACAATGAAAGGCGGCCATGTTAA